ATACATTTTGCAGCAATACAACATATTCTTAATACATACATTAAGAAGGGGCGTCCCACGTGTCACCCACATTGTTGTTTAATTGAGCACAACGTCGTAGAAGGCTTAATAAAATATAATGACTTTCTAGATTTACAATAATAATCAAAGCTAAAATAAATAAAATATAGTTAGAGTAAAGTAAGTCATACCTATACACGATTATTCTCAACGAAAAAAACAATTGTTCCAATGATCAAACATTAAAAACGTTCATTTTGAAAGTATTGTTACAAATATTTTAAAACATATTAGTAGGATAAATGTAAGCCAGTTTTGAAAAATAATACTAAACGTGTAGAGGTTAGTGACCGTTAATCGATAGTTATTCAGATATCGTGAGATGAGGACGGGTGTGATGTAGGGTTCAGAAAAACATTTTCTTTATCGTGCCAACGTTTCGATCTTTTATTGAGATCATCTTCAGGGCCTGGGATTTACAAACAATGTTTACATTTGACAAATACATGTAGGATGTGAAATAAATTAATTTATACAATGCAAAATATATTTTATATTTAAAAAAAGTATTTCTACTCATTCAAAGTGATTGTCTTCTGTGTAATTGTGCCATTCTTGCGTGTCGTGTTGAGACAAACACTTTGAGTGAGTAGAAATACTTTGATTGAATATAAAAAATATATTTTGCATTGTATAAATTACTTTTCCAAATCCAACATATACAAACATAAAACAGCAATATCTCACTCAATTGCACAATTACAAAGAAGACAAACACTTTGAGTGAGTAGAAATACTTTGTTTAAATATAAAACATATTTTGCATTGTATAAATTCACTTTTCCACATCCTAGATGTATTTGTTAAATGTAAACATTGTTTGTAAATCCCAGGCCCTGAAGATGATCTCAATAAAAGATCGAAACGTTTGCACGATAAAGAAAATGTTTTTCTGAAACCTATATCACATCCGACCGCAACTCACGATATCTGAGTAAATAATACTAAACAGTTACTTAAGTAGTTTGGAAATAGAACGTTATTTGTTTCGCCAAGTAAACGGGCCGATAAGGGACTGCTTCCCTAGTAGCTTACACCCAACGTGACTTGCTCTCATGCTGCCAAGATGAACTTACTTGTTTCCAGCTGCTGTGCTTCCGTTTTCTTGCTTTTGAAGTGTTGCATTCCTTACTTTATGACTTAAAAGTTATTTTCATTTGATTTTCCATTTAATTTAAAATCACAGGAGTGTAGGCCGCCAGCTGCCGATAGAAAAGGTTCGGACGGAATATTAATTATTATTTTTATTATAATATATATGATTAATATACAGGGTATTAATAATTAATATTATTTAGTCTAGTTTCAAATTTTTATCTCTTTTTGAAGAAAAATTATACAGGGTACCTCAGGCCAAGTTCAACTTCAAAATTTCAAATACGACCCCATACCTCCTGTCACATTACTTTAAAGGATTTTTATGCAAACAGTTAAAAAACGTGTTTGGTTTGCTATTTATTAATCTATTAATCACATTTCATGTTCGAACTGAATGTGTTGCGTAAAGGTGCAAACATATGTTCTTTTTAACTTCACCGAGGCTCACAGCGGTACGGCCAGGGGAGCTGGAATGAAAACATCCTTTGCCACATTCTTCAACTGAGGTTGCAGGCATATGATTCGCATAGACACTGCTTTTTAAATGGCCCAACATAAAACAGTCATGTAGAGTTAAATCGGATGACCGAGGGGGACAACATTCGGGTCATATCCATCTATTCCGGAAACACAAAAAAAGTCCCTATTAATTCCTTTGATCTGACTCCTAAACACATTTACATGTAGTGGCTTAATCTGAGTTTTTAAACAGTGATCTGGATGGGAATATTGGTAAAAATGACAATCCTGCCTTCTTCCCAGCTCTTCGTACAACCCTGATTGAGCGAAATATTTTGAACATTTTTTTTTCCATTTAGAAGAAAATGTTTTAAAATCTACAAACTTTGAATTGGAGGATTACTAGTTTTTACTTTTTTATATGGTTTGTACTATTGTTTTTATGAAAGCGGTTTTGTGCAAGAACATGTAGATACAAAAATAGTTGATTAACTTTTGAAATGAAAATAACACATCATGTTTTGAAATTTTTTCAACGTCTTACGAAGATTACTCAAAAAATTAATAGCCTATACACTGTAAAATTATTAACTCACATTTATGAAAACATAAAAGATAAATGATTTTTATAGTAAATGTATTGTTTCCATGGCAAGGAAGTTTTATGCAGAAGGAAATTCGAACTTTCATACAATTTTTATGCCAGTTAGTCTGTAATTTAACAATCAGATCATCCTGGTATGATGAATCTTGCTGTCAAATTGCAACATCGCACACCAAAAACAAGCGGACAATGAAAAGCAAACAGTAAAAATAACATATTTTGAACGAAAAATGACATTAAAACATATATCACATTAGAGAAATGTCCTACACTTCATGATAATATTTATCATTTGAAAAATTGTGTATCCCTGTTATATACGAAGTTGGGTTTAAACTGAAGTGCATGTACATCTTAATCTTTTAATTTTTTGAACACTGAAAAACGTAATAATTAAACAGGCGCTCGACCAACTTAGTAAAAGTAAAAAGAGAACTTTTTTGTTTCACAGCGTCGTAAAAATAAAATGAATCCGTTCATCATCTGCAGCAGTTCGTGCTACCGCGAAATTCTTGTTTGGCTTTTTACGACGTAGACATGTTTGTAGTTTATTTTTGCTTGCCAGCTTTACAAGTGGTTGTAATTTTTCTCGATATCCGATATTTCTTTTCCTTTTGATGTCTTTCGAAGCCGGAGGCACCGCGGAACCATAAAAGGATATGATTTGCTGCCAAATAAAAAAGATGACGTTTACATCCCATGACCATATGAATAATCAGAACGGTTTGATAATTTTTGTCAAATTAATTCATGATGTCATTTTAACAAGAGAAACGAATACAGCGTACTATTAAAAATAATGTGACAAGCAAAATAAGACAAAGATTTCAATTTATCTTAACGAAATCACATCAAAAATTCATCCCTGCCACCCATCCGTTGAATACAGAAAAAAATGAAATATTTTTATATAAATACTTAATGTATATTAGTTTTTAAATTTTTGTTAAATGAAAAAAGGACTTCAATAAAATTCGAGTTAGGCTGTTACTGGTCTTTATAGATCCTCGCCCCTTCCCATTGTGCAGAACTTTTATAAGTAGAATTCCACAGTGTAAGGTTAATTGACATCTTTATCTTCAGCATCCTTGGCATTCAATATCCTTAAAATTTGCAGCCCGTTATTGCCTTTTTACTCAAAGCGTAATATTACCATCGGCTTTTTTTAATCTCTGGAAGTGTGTTGTCTGTTAAGCTAGACCCTTGTTATTCGCAAACATTTTTGGTTTGTAAGTCACCACCGCGACTACGATAACACAATGTGAGATATGTTATTGTAGACAATTTTTGAAAATAATGCTTATAAGAATAAAAATTTTAAAATGTCACCACCGTCGTCTTATAATATGAAAAAAAAGGACAATCCATTGTGCCGGTTTGAAGAATATTGCGCGAAAAAAGAACGAACGCTGAAATGAAGATTTAATATTTTCACAAGAAACTACTTAAAATGCGTAGAGAAGATTACAATCGATGTTATCCAAACGACCTAATACCAATCAACAAAAAAACTAATCGACGAATTTAATACGCATTAAACGCAAACGATACAAGAAAACAACCGAAAAATAAAATTACTTGCTAATCCTGTATTAAACTAATTTTAAAAAAGGAAGAACTAATTAGAAAGTAGAAACAAACTTATATTATATCCTCCTAAACTAATACTTTATAAAATAAAATTGACGATATTGAAAACTCTTAGAATTTGGCAAATTAAAAACTTTCATCTTTCTATTTTAATTTATGAAAAGAAAACCAAAAATAATACATTAATATCTTAGTAAATTTTGGCAACTGACTAAAGTACATTGCTCTTTTGTTGACAGTAACATTTACTATTTTTTTGATATACCCTTAAAAAGCGAAACCTTTCATCCCTGTCCTGCTATCTGACCGAGTTCGTAAAAAACTAACAACCAATAACAATGTACAAACCCTATCCTCAATTCTCAATGGGAAGGTTGACTTATTCACTGCTACGTACATAAAAATAAGAGAACTTACTTATTGTACAAATAAATAAAAAATTAATAATGATTATCATTTTTATTAATTGCATAATGTATGGGTTCCGATTGACCAAATAACCCAATTAACTAATGTTTATGTAAGGTTGAGATAAAACAAGTCAGTGTCAGTGGGATTCGAACCCACGACCTTCGGCTAAATACGCGCTGCTCTACCACTGCTCAAGAGCTATCGTAACATCGACGCACTCGGACACCAACTTCCCATATCAACCCCCTTTTGAATTTTTCCTCCTTTTTCCCATTTAGCCGAATTTAGCTGAAGGTCGTGGATTCGAATCCCGCTGACACTGACTTTTTTTATCTCAACCAATACCTTTTAGAAATGATTTTGAAAAAATTAAACATTAAAAATCGAAAACCTTCTTAATTGTAAGTCTGTTTTTACATCATGTAGACCATTTATTAAATATGTACTTTTTATCGAAAATTATCTAGCATATGAATAATAAAAATAATAGCATATATTACAAAATTGTAATTAATAGAAACAATACTGAAGAAACTGCATTCTTAATTAATACTAGTCTAATCACAATTAAGCAGCAATGAAAGATTTTTAAATGTAAAGACAATATCAACATTTTAAAGAAACCAAAATTGTGTTTACAACAGCTGACGTGTTTGAACAAGCAAAAACCACTATATCTTTTGATAATTTACATGTTGAAAATATGCAAATGCAACCGTTAGAACTTTTAAAGGATATTCCCTCGTGGTTTGAATATATATACATTTATGTTATATCATCTATTGGCATCTTGACAGCTGTCCTCACGACTGCGTATCTCAGCTGGCGTTATAAGAAAAATAATGGACCCTCGTAAGAGATGGAGTCAACAAATGAAGACCTACACCAAGATGAAAACGCTCAGACGACACCTGCATCCGCTTTCTGAAAACCTTTTCTCTTGAGCTTCGGGCTTGGGGACAGAGGAGTTATAGAAACGACCTACATATAGATTACTAGGAGTCAGATAAGTCCAGTGGGTCAGAGAAGCCAGATTACCAGCCAGGTAGATAACTAAATACATTCTATCATTCTAATCAAATATTTCAGACCTTAGACCAATTGAAACATTTAGCCCAATTAAATTATATATGTAATTAACCTTTGTATTAACCAGAAAAGGGCTCTCTCTTGCGTCCGTTATAGTGTCGGTCTCACTATTTTAATCTTTTACATAAAGCTTCTTCTTTTTAAAAAATCTTTTCTCGCAGGATGATAATTTAACTTCGATTTGAACTCAGCGGCTGAAATAGGTAAGATTTTCCGAGGCAATGTTTCAAAGCGAATGAGTATGGAAAATGCCGTTTACAGGTCATGCTGCATTTAAAATCAGTCAACGGGCGTTTGGTTTTTTTTTTCAAGGGGGCGTCGGTTGCGCAACGGTGTAGGCGTTGAAACGGCGCTCATCACTGTAAGATAAAGGTCTCGGGTTCGAATCCAGTGGCCCTGCAACCCGGATGGGGTGAGAATTCTTCTACAGAAAATTTTATACAAATAATTGAAGGGTGAGTATATCAATTCACTTTTTGGATAGGATGGTTTCACTGACAAACTAGTTTCAGCACCTATGCCGATTTCGAGCATCAAATGCTAATTATCAGGCTAAAACAAAATTCACTGAAAAATTCTGAAACACATTTTACCTTCAGAGATGAGTTTGTACATTTCAGCATAAAGATGAGCATTTAATTCACGAAAACCAAATAATTGCTAAAACCAATTTATGAGTAAAACTATTCTTTCCAAAAAGGTTTCATTTATACAAATACAGTAATTTTCTGATACGTTTCTATATGGATAATATTTACAACTGATAAATTATTTCAAATACAATTACGCAATTATTATAAATGATATACAATACAATAGTTAAATATTTACAAATAGGATTAAATATTAAAAAACATAACAGGACCTTTTTAGATCTGAAAGAAAAGGTTTTTTCCGTTTGTCTGTTTTGTCTCTTCTCTCTCTGTATTTTGCTTATTACTTCAGCGGTGTCATTTTGAGCCAATTACCCTGGTTTAGAAGTGGTTACTCGACAATGAATTCGGTACTCTCTGTTTTTAACTCAATTAAACTTCGTCTGAGCAACGCAGGTAATGGAGTTTATGCTATTTTCGGAAATTGCAAATCCTTTGTTTCAGAAGATCCACGCCTCTTCACTAGAAATAAAATACACAAAATAAGAAGCTTACCGACGAAGACGTTGTTCACCAGAAGCTTAATAAACCGCATAAATAATCTGATTTTAAATGTAAATAATGTCGGAAAACGGCAAATGCCGAGTAGCGAGGAGGAGAAGTATAATTTAGATACATTGTTTTCATTCAAAGTAAGCCGGCTGCCTGAAATTTCCAGAATAATAATAATTTGATTGAAAGACGTTTTCAGATTGATCTACAATTCGGTGTATCATTGAATTTGTCGAATTGCTTCATGGAACAGAATTGAGATAATTTTATCTTCTGAAAACTCCAGATTTAATACTGTCTGGATATTTTGACATTGAAACTTAAATCAATCAAATTAATAATAAGTCAAATTATAAATACGACATTCACTCAATGCGAATGTTTTCATAAAAAGTTCTTCATTGTATGATAATCAGCGATCACGGATGTACACAGAAAACTCAACGAGCTAAAACAAGGCGGAAAAACTGATGTTATGCTGGTTTGAAGGCAACATAATCGATAAATTAAAATTTAGATGCATTGGCAAAGGAGGCCAATGTATATAGTAATTTTATGGTATGAAAATTTGAAATGCAGACGATAAACTAGTTATCAATCCCATTTGTCACAATGGAGAGAAAAAATACAACTCAGCAATAACAGGAAACATCGAGCATAATACACTTGTTTCTCACAAACCACTGTTTTTGGAAGAAAGTAGGCGAAAATATTTTTATTGCTCTATTTTTAGACTTAAGACCTTTGTGCAAGCTACAAGTGTAGAATTTAGTTAAGCACATACCCAAACTGTCTAATTTTTGACTGTCCATCAAATCCTTATTATGCAATATCACTGGAGTGCCCAGAGTTTTGAAATAAAAGGGAACAATTTTGGGAAAATCAGAACAATGCCCACATTGTTTCAAGCGCAATGTAAAAAACTATATTAGCAAGTAAAGACATAACGTTTTATGATTTAATTAGCAAGTTGTTAAAGCCAATCAACAGTTCTTTTTGTTCCATATAGATGCAGTGGGTTTTCAGTGTCTCCTCCGGTTTGGTAGATGGGTTGGATTGAATCCTCGTCCTGAGGCATTTGGGTGAAAGGGGCGCATGCAAATTCTTCTCACAAGTCGGAGGGAATTATTGGAAAGCTGCCCGTCTATGTCAACTTGGCTCGTGCTTCCAGGTGCGCGTCGTCAAGGTTCCTCCATTTCTCCTCACACTCGCGATCCGCTAATACATCATGTGACAATATTTGCAATGAAAAGAACAAAATAAACTGCTCGAAAATGAATAGGGATATTTTTAATTTATTCTTATTGTTTTAATTTTTAATTAAATTAGCCAATATATTCTCTGTAGTTGTATAAAACAAAATTAAAAATACACACCAAAAACAAACAAATGTTAAATTCATTTTTATTAACGGATTTACTAAAGAATAGTAATAATCGAGACTCATTTTGTAAACAAGCACGTTTTCTCGTCTTTTCTCCACTTCAATCCAGATCTGTTTTCGTTAACCATGGAAAGAAATAATCTTAAAACAGAAGTCAGGAATATTATTGTGAGAATGAGACATCGAGGTCACTGGCCAGTGAATATCGCAGAGGCAGTTGGCGTTTCTGAAATCGTGGTCTCTATGGATTAATGCCTGGCGTTAAGGGATGACAGAAAAATTGTCGCTGCTGCAAGACGGAACCTTCTCCATAGTGGCCGCCAGGACCTAATGAAGTAGAAGAAGAAGAAGAAGAAAAATAAGTTTATTCTGAGACTGGTGTCCCCTAAGAATAATATACATGAAGTAAATAAAGGAAGTTCGCTTCTTTGAAATTAAAAATAAAATGAGATAGAAATCTTAGCACAATGTATCCCAGTAAGGCAGGCCAGAAGAAAAAATAACAAGAATATTAAACAAAAATATCAAATATTAACGTAAGGTCTCTGCTTGGAGAGAGAGGAGGTGATTATACAGGTGGGATTTAAAGGTTAGGGATGGTTAGGGATTTAAAGGAGGAAGCGCGACGAATAGAAAGGGGAAGGGAGTTCCACAGTTTAGGGGCTCGGGTCAGAAAGGATCTTTCGAAGGTATGGGAAGGATAAGGTCAATTGGGGATGAGCGGATGTTACGAGTATGATGTGAGGAGTTGAATTGGAGGGATTGGGTGATGTAAGGAGGACGATGAGGTGGATGGACTGGAAAAAAAAGCAACCTGGAATTTATTGTGGGGAAAAAGACAAACGTAGCAGGAAAAGAAATTTGAGCAGTCTGCGGTGAAGATGCGTTTGCGAGCGCGCTTACCAAATGTGCTTTGTCAGGTTTAGAAAAAAAGAATGTACCCTGAAAGACGAAGTGCTTTCTAGAAAACCGTTCAATTTAAAGCTTTAAAAGAAAATAATACACGATATACCACTTTACGATGGAAGTAGATACTTTATTACAGGCGATTGTCGCTTCCGAATTTGAAGAAACTCGGTCGGTCGTCTAGATAAATGTTTGACGTGAATTTAAGAGGGTGCGTTTCATTCGGGATTTCCTTTCAACTCGTTATAACGTTCAATATCTTTAAAAGATAAATGACAGGGGGAAAAAGTGAATTCTGTTTGACAATACGGTTTGGAAGCTATTGTCATTTCATTGATGACGAAGCAGAAATTGTTGCGCTTAGCCATTCACGTACTACCCCACTTTATTCTCTCTGTCCATTGTGTACCGTACATTATTTTTACTTTTGTTTATGCGTTTTCCGCTTTTTATACTAATCCCAGATACTCCCTTGTTTCGTTTGGCATGTTATTGCAGAAATAGTAAGCGGGACAATTTTTACCTTATTCGTTTAAGGCTTACTTGTATTGGTTTGATCGGGAAATAATATCGGATTAGGCCACTTGACTGAAAGCTATTGCCGTATTTTCTCATAGAAACAAAGAATTATGACACACAATAAAATCACTATATTTTTTTTACTATTATACATTTACAATTATGGTATGATGAACTGGCATGACTATCACTATATTTGAAAAATATTACTTGTTAATGATTTGTACTCACAACGTTGCTGTTTTAGTATTAGGTAACATATCGGATGGATTTACACTTTATATTGTACAGTTTATGATATACTAAATATTGTCCAGATATAATATTGGAAGGATTACTTTGGTGGTGTAGTTGTTGAGTTTAGTAATTTAGTAGTCTATTGCTGAAGTTATCACCGCGTTACCAATATGACGATCGGCGGAGCGACTCAGCGATAAGCTAGAAGGATCTCGTGGCCATTGCGTTCCCGATTACTCATCGTCAACAAGACAAGAGGATCTTTAACGTCCGCACCTAGCCTGTTCGGCCTTATCGGACGTTTTGATTCTCAAGATGAGAGCTGACGCACCTCCACATACGACGGAATAGTGTTACCGCCGCAGCATTGGTGAAGTGGTGTCCCGGCCCCTAGGGGTCGGTAACCACGCTCTCCGCTTGTCCACTCCGAATGGTCGGGCCCGCATTATGCGTCGGGTCGTACGCCGCACGCTAGGGGCTAACGGGCCGAAATACATCAGCCCGTCCCCCCCTCGCGTACTCCTTAGATAGAGAAGGCGACTCTATCTCTCTGAGTGTAGAGGCTCCTCTAGCGTCGAAACTTCCGGGAACGCCCCGACAACGGTTTTAGTTTATAGTGGGATTGCTACCCACCCCCTAGATGAGCACTGTCTACGGTAAAAAGTCTCTTATCGAGCTCAGCCTACACCTGCTGCACGCATTCGAGGGACGCCAGTCGTGGCCAGTAAGATCTTGACCAGGATACCTAGGTTCGAGGCTGGCGGGCTCTGTTTTTGAGATTTGGAAGAAAGAAGGCGAGGGGTCAGTGCGCGAGAGGTGACCGCAGGAAGATATAGCCTTTATCCTGTTAGAGAATGTAACAGGATAAATTTATGTGTACTGTGGTACTGAGTGAAGGCCCTAGTAATTAATGTTTTCGGGTGAGGCAGGCGAATCCCGAAGAGGACGGTGCAGATCAAAGGGGATATGATGGAGCCGTAGGCAGAGGGGTTTCTCCGAGTAAAATAGATCACACGACATTTGCAAAATGGCAAAAAGGAGGGAAAATTCGAAAGGTGCGGTTGAGATGGGAGATTGGTGTCCGACTGGATCGAAGTCACGATAGCTCAAGTGGTAGGCGTATTTAGCCGAAGGTCACGGGTTCGAATCCCGCTCGTGAAATTGACTTTTTTATCTCAACCAATACATTGCTTAAAGATTAATTAATTGAATGAAAAGTATTTCTTTGGTCAATCGGACCACGAAACCTAATAGATATGATAATAATATTTTAATTATGCATTAGTTTTTAGTTATTATCATACCAAAGGTAATAATGAACGCATAATGAGACACCCTTAGACGATACAAACTTAACAAAGATATATTTAAATAATGTAACAAAGAAATTAATGAAACCTTACATAAAAATTAATTAATTGAAAGAAGTATCTGGTCAATCGGACCACGAAATGTAGTGAATAAATGGTAAATTTAGTTGCTTTAAATATAAGTCTTAGTTTTTCTTTAGTTTAAACCATGCTTTCTCTTTTCTTTTTTCTTCTTTTTCTTTTTGGCCAGTCGAGTTTTGAGTGTAAAGAAGAAGGGTGTGTTTGCATTTGGAACGATGATTTGTTTTGTTTTAATTTTTCCCTTCCATTAAATTATATTTCTTGTTATCGGAGGTCGTTTTTTTCAATTAATTTGATTAATTAATAAATCACAGTATTTATTTATTTTATGTTTAAGTATTCTCCCGCGGTATAAATTCACGCTCTATTATTATTTTTTTTCATACGTAAAAATATTTTTTGCCATTTAATATTTGGAGTTTTTTTTTCATTATCCTTACTTAATCCATTTATGTATTAGTGGTCAATTGACCAAGCTACTTCTTTCAATTAATTATTCTTTTTATTAAGGTTTTAGTTAAGATAAAAAAGTCAGTGTCGCGGGCGGGATTCGAACCCACTTCCTTCGGCTAAATACGCCGCTGCTGTACCGAGTACGATAACTCAAATGGTAAAGCACCGGAAAAGAGAAAAGAAAAAAGAATAATTTTTACTTAACTCACAAAAAATACATTTTATGGTGTTTTATTTGCACCATATATCTGAAACTGAAATTTTTAAGTACGTTCTTTTCGTTTCGAAAAACTTTAAACTCCCAAGAAGTAAAATGCCGAACGTCTGTGACATACTACAATAGCAAGTATAGGCGGATCAAGTTTTAAAAAAATCTACTATTTTCCATGATCTTTGGTTAAAATATTTTTAAAAAATGGAAAATGTATTGATATAAAAATTGAGATGATTGATAGTCCATTAAAATACAGTTAACTCTCGTTTACAAATTGTAAGTACCCGCTTCAAAAAATTATGAAAAACAAACCTAATAAGGCTTTGAGCCTGAATAATTAGTTTTGCAAAGAATATTGCCATTTTGTTTAAAATTTTAATAACAGGGTGTTAGTTAATTAACAAAGAATAAGTAGTTTTTGTTACTTTAAATATATTTCATGGCACCTGTTTGATGGGTTGGTTCGAAGGTTCTTACATTTATATTTGTCGAACTGTCGATTGAGACGGATAATCGTTTGTGGTGTCGAAGAGATATATGGTCGGGTGTAACTTTACCTTTTGTTTCAGCAGGATTTGCTTTCTTATATCGCTCACCGGTAGTTACACAACTTTCGTTTTTGGGATATAGAAAAACTTTGAGCTCAAAGGGCCCCAGGGCAGTCGGTGAATTTCTCTTGCCGGGTGAATTGGGCCCATTTCCTGGGAAAAGAGAAATATAACTTTAATTGTAGTTCGAAGAAAAATCGTGCGGGCTTTTGGCAAGATAACAATCATCAAATCATTCTTTTTTTTTTACTGTACATGATCACAGGCAGTATGATTTTTAATTAAAGTATCCGATTTCGGGATTCACGTTTTACCTCTAATCTTGCACCGGACGGAATATTTTTTGGTATAAAAAACAAATCAATAAACGCGTAATGTTTATATTCACAATTTATGCGAAGTAGTTATTTCATTTGTAGAAAACAGAATGTTTTCTTGAGAGAGCTCAGCCAATGAGAATCTAATTTCATCTAATTTATTTGTTTTATGTAAAGAATAGTTATGCCCAGTTTATCAGAAATTGTCGACCGTCCAAACAGTTAATGATCCACCTGGCATTTTTTCCCTTTTTTTAGTTCCCTCCTGAGCACTGAAGCTGTACAGCTTATTGTACTTTATCCCTGGCTCAATATTTTGGGGGAGGGCTCGCAACACAAATATGAACTTGAGCCCCCGTTGTACCGGTGCTCTTCCATCGAAGAAACTCATTTTTGAAGGGGTTTGGGACCAAATTCATTGTCGCTGAGATCTGCTCCCGCTCCTTCCATTGATGAGTGCCGTGCCAATTTCTTTCAATTGCGGCCACCGGTCCTCTTAGGCGTCAGAAAAAGTCCAGAGACGACGGTGGGGATCGAACCCACGACCGCGGGATCTACTAGCCGAGAGTCAGACGCCTTAACCACTCGGCTACCTTGGCCCCCGGCATTGCTAATCTGTCTGCCACATAATGCAATTGTGTTTATAAAAACAGTAGTAAATCAGCTATAAATAACTAAAGTGAATATCAATTTACCATTTAAAATACAGATATTCTTAAGAAAAGAAAAATTTCAAATGAAATATACTTCTACCCCTGGATATGACAACATATCTTCTTGTCTGCTCAAATATTGTGCGGTTAATCATAAATATTCCCTACATATTAAATTTAATAATTAAGTTTAGGTTATAATCCAGATGTCTGGAAAACGACTTTTTTAAACTAGATTTGAAAATGGTAACAAATCAGGTGTAACAATACAAATGTGTTTTGTTACATGTAGAAGTTTAGATTTCTGTGGATTGAAGCACATCTTGTTTTTTACAGACTATTTCTCTACCAGGTGTAGGCTTTCATTAGCTGAGCATTGTAAATCACATACTTGCCAGGCACTAAAATTAACAAGTCATTGGCAAATGCTTTCACTACTTCCAGGAACAGCATCTTTAAGAGAGTAGTAGTACATCAAAATTCGGAAACCTGGCCCACATCAAGAACCTTTGGGACAACCTTTGTTAACATCCCTTTCAGACATGGTTTCAAATCCCATCACAGTAGCTCGTATTCCAGAGAAATAATTGTTTGCCAGCTCAAAAAAGAGTTCTGGGACACTCCCTTCCTGAAGACTAATTAGTATTGCCGGCCACAAAGCCGCATTGAAGGCGCCTTGGACATCCAAAAAAATCATAAGAATAGCTCCTTTTTTATGGTGCTCATCAATGATTTCTTTAACTTCCACCAGAGCATACACTGTTCCTTTCTGCGGAAAAAATTTGATTTGATTTTCTGAAAGCATTCTAGTTTTTCGAAAGTGATGTAATATCCGATTTATTAAAGGTTTTTCTAGTATCTTCCCAAAAACTTGCAGCAAGCTGATGTGCCTGTATTTTGAGGCGTCGCCGCTATTGGCCTTCCCTGGTTTGACCAAGTACAATTTTTGATTCTTTCCAAATTTCTGGGAAAACTCCTTTTGCTAGACAGCAGTTGAAAAACTTGCAAATCACATTAGGAAAATCCTCGATCATTCTCATTACTATGCTTTTTGTGGATCCCGCATTTCTCGGAGCATTCTTTTCTTTGAACGCGCACTTAATATTTTTTATTTCATTTAATGAAAAAGGTTTATCATTTGAGGTTTCTACTCCTTCAAGTACTTTACGTCTAATATCCCTGTGAATATCCTCGTCCAGTATATCATCAGAAACAAATTGAAAACTTCTATTGAAAACTATAAACCAATAATTTCTACAGCAATATAGTCCTAGAAGGAATAAAAATACTGAGAACGTTCCTAAAACACAAATATCCTAATGTTAAGAAGAAAAATAGCTTAAGGCTCAGGTCGATAGCACTATAGCAGACACCCAACTATTTAACAACCCACTTGTTTATTAGTCCCACCAGGCCACTTTGCTAAATTGTTTAATGTCACTCATCGGTGTAGAAGATGAATGACTGCCGTCAGAAATTTGATTATTGCTCATCGACTTTGGCCGTAATCAAATAGTCTTCCTTATCACTTCAATCTTTTTTTTATCGATCAATCGTCTAAATTGATCTGAAGAGGGGAAACTGTGTTTAACGTAAGTTCGCTTTTAATTTAGGTTGAGAAAAATACCCTGTTGACATAATCGTCGATATTCAGGATACAACAAATTCCCTAATGAAATACGATTATGCATAATTACAATTGCCTGAGCACGAAGGATGGATTCCTACAGAGTAAACAAAGGATATAGAATCATGTCGATAAATATCTTAGTACACTATCAGGGTAAATGCACTTTTAATACCTTTCGTTGACAAACGCAAAACTTTAGTCGTGTTATAAATATTTAATTAGTGTTACATAAATTAATCTGGTAATAAATACTTCAAACCTCTTGATAAATTTTGTTGAAAATGTTTGAATATCCATTGTGGTTTTCTTACGGATGCATTACAGTTGTATGACGGTTAAGAGTCATTCAAAGTAGAAATATAATATTTACAAAAAATATTTACTTGTTTTTAATGAAAATCGACATTCACATAAAAAATACTAAATGAATTTAAAAGGAAATCAATGGATAAAACTCAATTGCGATACAAAGAATTGATCAAATATTTTAATGGTACGAGTTAGAAAACAGCTAACCACTTTCCCGCGTATGTCTACTTTTCCGTCAATATTATTATTTTTTATTTTTTCGCTTCACCGTCAGGTATCCAGCCATACTACAGGCATTTAAAATGCGCCGATCGGAAACCAGCCAAGGCCAGGCAAGCCAACCGGAGCAGCTTTTCCGCCATTTGGCGCGAGATGAGCGAGATGGACTCTGTCCTAGAAGACCGATGTGAAGTGTTAAGGGTGTCGCGGGGCCACTGACGCTTCTGTCTTCTGTTAGGATTATCAGTTAATGTAGTGGATTACAAGTTTTTGACCAAAGGGTTCGGATGATGGGGTAGTTTGGAACGGTACGTTTTGTAGCGGGATTGGGCTAGCTCTATAAGAAGAGGGACATTTAGGTCGGTATGGATGGTGTGGTTGGATCGGGGCGTTGAGGCGTCTGACGATTTTGGATTGAAGGTTCGAATTGAGGTTGGAACGCTTAACAGTCCCGTAAAGTTCAAGTCCGTGTGTGCAAATGGTGGGGGCCAGGAGGGCAATTTAAAGTTTTATTTTGTTTGTAAGTGAGATTTTTGATCGTCTGTCGGGTACTCGTTTAAGCATGAAAAATCTTATGTTGCAGTCTGTGCGCTTAAGTCGTGTTTAGGGGTTCCACCGTAGTAGTTTGTCCAGGTAGAATCCGAGGTACATGGTACACAATTGAGAGGGGAACGTTGTTGAGGTATACTAGTGGAAAGGTTTTCTTGTTTAGGGTAAATATTAAGACAACGCACATCAAAGTTTTACCCATTCAAAGCGCTGGAGTAATATGGCTTAAGCTCTCTAGTTCAGTGGTATAAAAAACGCACCATGGTTCAGTACCTCTAAAAAGCATCTTGCACCTGAACATCGTACTACCGTTAATCTATCAATCAGGCATTTCTCAGAGATTTAACGAGAATTTGTACTGTCTTCATAAGACCGGCCCATTATTCTTCCAAGTTTATCGTACATGGCTCTAATACTCGCGAATCCTTCCTAGTTTGGTCGGAAGGAAGCTAGGAGAGACATCCTTATTCCTCAAAAAGTTATATTTGTTGACATTGTGTAAAAAGAGGAATGTATCGTAACAGAGCGTAGCCATGCACCATACCATGAGCAGCCTTGTTCGTGGGCTTGGACTGCCTTGCAACAAATTGATGAGTTTCTCGACAAGTCGGCCTTTGCATTCCATTTGCACACTGCACAACACTACACCACAATGCAAGTAGTGTTGCGATTTCGCTGTTGTTTGTTGTTACCAGCTACATGATGGTATTTTCCAATTCGGTCCAGTTTCTTGGAAGCGTCTTGTACCAATCGCGAGTCAACTCCTTAAATCCGCATACCCGGATACATTGGTACTAAATTCCTCTGGAAATTGAGAATCAATTTTCACTAGCCAAGTCAAGTTCTGGTCGTGAATATATTTACAGAATTTGTTTGCCTCTTTCTGGGAAGCAACTTCGAACAGGCAATCAGCCAACTCCGGCACTGACATCATCACCATTTGAATCCTACGTTTAGGTTCGGCCTCCGTTGCCAAAATTGTTTGCAGTGCAGGCTTCACCTCAGCTTCTTAATATGGCTGTTTTGCAGCTTTAGTATGTGACAGATCGAGCAGAAGTGGTGCAAGTGTGTGGATATAACTTGTGAATACAGTTCTCTCAGTTTTGTCAAAAGTGGTCCCGCAGTGTCTATACGCTTTTAAGTTTTACATTCATATTTTCAGGATGAAGACACCTTCGGAAATGATATACACGGATATTGAAGGTTTTGAACTGTACCTATGGTGGTAGCATGTAGCATAAATCGAATATCCTTACCACGCACTATAAATTTGAAAAACATAAAATTTTTAAAAATCATACATATGTAACAAAAAAAATCAACAGAAAATAAATGATAATTGTACCGACAACTTGACCCATGAGGTCATTTAAAAGTATTTCTCAAATTTGTAAACTTTTTAGCAAAAATATAATTTTCCTTATATCTTTTTCCTAAAATCATCGCATACGTTATACTTGCGATAATTAACA